CCTGCATGCAGCACTTAAGGCAGTGAGAAGTTGCTAAGTGCTGGTGAATAAATGTATGCCTAGCGGAGGGGAGAGCAGTTTAGGGGGAGCGTGATCAATAGGGTCACCTGCTATGAAGAGATCAGGGAAAATGATGGCAGTCAATGAAAGTCATTGGATTTCATAGGAAAGCTGGTATTGGTGACCTTTGAAATGCTTGTTTCAGCAGAGCAGTCGGCAAGAGGCCCAGATTCTGAAGTGCTAGGGGCTTCTTTGAACATGATGAAGACTTGCAGGCTTCCAGGGTTTCTTATTGATGGTATATCTGAACATATGGAAGAGGCAGAATTCTCTTTGAAGGAATAGCTAAGTGGCCTCAGGCCAGTTACTTTCCCTCTTAGATCCTTCGATCTCTGAAAAGGCAATGCTAGTAACATCATGTGGGTTCATTTTTTAAAGGAGTAAATGAGAATGATACATGACATATAGTTGACACTTTGGTCTTTTCTTTACTATACCTCTGTCTTTTATTAATGTTATTTAAGGCATCCATCACCCTGTGTAAATCTGTGTAAGATACAAAATTGCTTATTCTACTCCCTGGAGAAATTAGAGATTGGAGAAATTTGGCTTGCAGCTAATCTGATAGTTGAACCAGGGTTAGTGACATGATATTCAGTTGGAGAAGTTCCCCAACTTTTGGTTGTTATTATTATGTGCTGATCAATCCATCCCAACGCATAGTGACCTTTATAAGGACCGAGTAGCACCAGCCCATAGGGCAGCGGTTCTTAACCAGTGGGTCGCAACTCCTTTGGGGTTCAAATGACCCTTTCACAGGGGTTGCCCGATTCATAACAGTAGCAAAATTACAGTTATGAAGTAGCAACCATAAAAAATAATGGGGGCTCCCCACAACATGAGGAACTGTAGGAAAGGGTCGCAGCCTTAGGAAGAATTAGAACCCCTGCCATATGGTTTCCAAGGCTATAATCTTTGTAGGAGGAGTCCTAGTGGTGGAGTGGGTTTCCTGTGGAGCTGATAACTGAAAGTTCAGCAGTTAGAAACCACCAGACAGTTCTGGGGAGAAAGATGAGTCTTTCTGCTTCTATAAAGATGTATGGCCTCTCAAACTCAAAAAGGCGATTGGACTCTGCCCTGTGGGGTTGCTATGAGTTGGATTCTGTGAGTGTGGTGTGGTTTAACCTTTGCAGCATCTGACTGCCACAGCTTTCTCCCATAGAGTGGTTGCTGGATTCAAATCGCTGGCCTTTTGGTTAGCAACTGAGCAGTTAACCACTGCACCAGCAGGGCCCTGTGATGTGTTAGCTGAACTCTTCTGCAAGGTACAGAATCCCAGTTCAAACAGACCTATGGGGAAGGTGGGGGACCCAGCTGGAGTTGGGAGTTGGCTTATATGATTTAAAAGTTTATGGAGAATACTAGCTATAGACACTGCCAGACCATCTAGCTCAAATGATATTATCAGTACATGCATGGCCTTTCAACCAGACTCCCCTAAGTGTTAGTTGCATCCTTAAGCATATCTAACAGATTGTGAGGAGCGAAACCTTCTCAGTAGGTCTCACCGATATGTTGGATTCATTCATTCTCCAGGCTTAATTTATTTGCCTGCTTTTGAACCAGGAGTTGTGGCCAAAGCAGTGGATTGGGGAATCGCCTGGTAAGGGATTATGTAGTTCTTTGAAATATTTGTACCAAGCATAGGGGAGGAGTGGCTCCCAGCAAGAAAATTCTTTTGCTGTTCCAGAATGAAAGAGAATAGATACAGAGCAGGCAAAATAATGGCTATCTTCTTAGTATATGAAAGCATCACAGGTATAGGACAATTTAGTAGGTGAAGGAGCTCTGGTAGTACTGCCAGGTAAGCATTGGACTGCTAATGATAAGGTTGGCAGTTTGAACCCACCAGCCACTCCACAGGAGAAATATGAGGCTGTCCATTGAGTAAAGATTTACAAAGCCTCAGAAACCGCTACGTAGGGCCCCAGTGAGTTGGAACTGACTGCATGGCAGTGGGTTTACCTTGGCTTCGGTTAGGTCCATAGAGTATGAAAAGTAGATTCCCATCCTGATGAACAAGTTCTTGCCTTGACATTCCGTGCTTCTGTTGGCTCCAGTCACATTCCTAACCCTAGGAGTTCTAGATCCAGACCTGAACACTTTACAGTCAGACTCGTGGAGATCCTGAAATTAGGCGAATGTCCAGTCAAGATACTTCAACACACTTGCCTTTTTGCACTACCAAGGAATTGCTACCATGTTGGTCCACCTTGGTAACTCAGGGTGATCAGCAAGTTATAAATCAGAAAATTTGGATACATTGGAGGAGTTCATTGGATCATAATCTTTGGCATGTGTTTATGCTGAAATTTTCAAGCTCGGTAGTTTCCTGTTCATTCAGTCCTTTGTCTGTGGCTTGGTTGGCTGGTAATTGATGCGTCAGCAATTAGAACCTCTGCACCATCTTCTCTTGCCTTTCTTTAAATAACTGGCCCACCTTTCCATCCTCCGTAGGACGTGTTTTCAAAGTACTTCCCAAGTCTGGGTCCGTTCACCTGCTTTTGAGAATACAGTTTTATTTAAACACCAAATAAGCCATTTGTCTTGCCTGTGGTGCTGTCCTACGATAGCAATGGTGAATCACTGAAGAGAAAAGTGTGACCCACAAGCCATAAAATATTTCCTGTCTGGTCCCTTAAAGAAAAAAGTTACCATCCCCTTACCCTGTATGAAAGGACCCTGGTGATGAAGTGAGCTACAAATTGGGCTGCTAACTACAAAATCAGCAGTTCGAGCCCAGCAGCCACTCTGTGGGAGAGAGATGGATCAGAGAGGTGAAGGATCAGACACCCAAAGGGGCAGTTCTCCTCCTTCTTACAGGGTTGCTAGGAGTACCAAGATACAGTATGTGCCTTATAACAGGACTGCTACTCATCGACCTAAGCCAAGCGTATGAAGAATTAGGAGTGTGTCCTTAAACGGCCCTCACTTTCTAGTGGTAGACAGAGCAGATTTGGAGAATGATTAACCTTACCCGTTCCACCATTGCTCTTTTCAGTCTCAGAGCAATTTTCTTTTCATTTATTTCTGCACCCGGGACAGTTTGGTCTTCCTCATCTTCTAAAATCACACACACACACACCACCACCACCACTACCCCCCGCCTTTAAGAGTGAGAGAGAAGGTCTTCCCACCCAGCACTTGGACACATTGGCACAAAGACAGGTCTGGGTTCCATGCAGAGAGAGAACGAACCAGAAAAATGTACGAAGCCCAGGACTTCATGCCATTTTATTCCCCCTCTGAACCCTTCCAAGCGCATGTGTGTGTTGTGCTCTGAGCAGGGTGCTTTGTGTTGATGTCTTTGCTTTGTGTTGATGTCTTTGAGATGAGCCCTGAGCATCCATGGAGGGAGGTTCAGCTATCGTGGCGTGTGCACGCGCGCGCGCGCGCGCGCGCGCGCACACACACACACACACACACACACACACATAGTCCTCACTTGACTGTGTGGGTGGAGGGCTGTGTAGTGAAGCTGTACGTGAGGAACAGGGATGCGAATACCCCCTCTGCTGCTTTTCTGCAGTCTAAATGCCCTGTGGATTGAGAGAAGACTTCAATCCCCAGGCTTGTGAATTCCTTATCTTTCCCAAACGTTAAATTAATTTTTAAGGCTATTTATTCAAAGTTGACTTAACCACTAGAATAGGAAAGATCAGACAAATCAGCGGCGAGAAATGAAGTATGAGGAAATCGGAACTCTTTGACAAAGTATTCCTAGGAGTAAAGGTGTTGAATGGAGCCAGCGGGTGAATGATAAGGGCCTTTACACTGCGGAGTAAAGAAAGCAATTTATCAAGAGTGCGTGGACTCTCTGGTGGCCACCAGTCAGGAGGAAACGAGCGTGGGGGAAGAGCCCTGAAGAATACATTTGAAATACTTTTTTAAAAAGTGTGTGTGTGAGTGCACTTTGAAACACCTACATTCTCATACAGAAATATTGTATATTGAAATATGAGTGGCTGGTAGTGTACTTGTAACTACTGTAAATCATATTGTTATGGGATAAGCTTTTAGGGTTAACAATTGAGAGAAGAAGGGTCAGGTGTAGTTAAAACTTGAACCTGGATATTGTTGTCTGATACTCATCACTGACTCCTGAGATTAGGTGACTATCTTTCAGGCTCAGATTTTTACACTTTGTAATCTGTAGAAGAGCAGATGTGTGTAATTCAGACAGATAATTCCTAATGTCTTTTACATTCCATTAAGGAGCCCAAAGCCCACTTATTCACTATCTCCCTGATGTTGGCAGCCTTTTTCGGATGAGACGGGGCTGTCCACATTGTTTATGAACGGGAAACCGAGGCGCAGTGTAATTGGCATTGTCTTCAGTAGGGTTCTCTGATCTGAAGGGGGATAGAACTTGTGACCCTGTCTTGGCTTCCAGTGCTAGAGGAGAGCCGTGATGTCTTAGACTAGAGGCAGGGAAGAGTACTGTTGCTGAGATGCTCGTTTCATGAGAAAGATCTATGCAGATATGGTTAGTCCTCAATCGTTAGCCAATACACAGCAATTGCCCTAATTTTTATTTTAGTCATTTCTCCCCACTTTCATCTGATAACCAGCTTTTGTTTGGGAAGTTCACAAAATGCCAACATTAGGACGTGAAAATTCTTTACCTTAAGCAATGTCTAGAGGCCAGGTGCGAGAGTTCCCTTAGAAAAGCGACTCAGTTTTCAGACCCAGACCCAGCCATTTGGAAAACATCATCAGTGGCCTCATTCTGAAGGGTGAATGTGTTTTGTACTTGCCATTATCTGACATTCACAAAAGTGACCCCACAGCAAAACAAATCCAGAAGGAGGTGGGAGGGAACTTGTGGAAAATCCTGCTTCCACCTCTCTGGGCCTCAACCCCTCAGCAGTGGCGCTCCACTAACGTCTCTTCTGTGTCTCCTCTCTCTCGGTCCCCTGGAACCTGATGGGCCCATCCAGCCTTGGATAAACTCAGCACGCAGCACCTGTACCACCCCACCCAGGTGGAGATCGTGCAGTCCAACGTGGTGTTCGACATCAGCAGCCTGATGCTCTATGGAACGCAGGCGGTGCCCGTGCGGCTCAAGATCCTGCTGGACCGCCTCTTCAGCGTGCTGAAGCAGGAAGAGGTGCTGCACATCCTGCACGGCCTGGGCTGGACTCTGCGGGACTATGTGCGCGGATACATCCTTCAGGTAGGGGGAGGACGGCGAATGCTGCTCCGGAGCAGCTCGGGCTGGGGTTGACTGAGCGCCTTTGCCCCTCCGGCCTCTTTCCACCCCCCGCAGCACAGCGCACACCCCCTCTTCTGGCTGAGTGGTCCTCTGTATTGGCAGGTTTCTCAGGGAACTGGAGAGAACAGCCAAAGTCCCAGCAGGCCAGGAGTGGATGAGGAGGGCAAATGGCCTGTTGTCGATTCATGTTGTACCTTTGTCAATGCCACCCTCTCTAACTACAACATGACTTTCTGGCTTCTTCCACAGGTCTTACGTAAAGCGAGGGCTCTTTGAGGTGGGTGACAGATGTATGGAGATCAGAGATCAAGCTCCTCCTGGGGTTCTTAGAGCTTTTGTCACTGCTGAATGTGCGGACATGAGGTTTTCTCGGTCTCTGTCGCTTCACCATTTATTGCTTCTTCAACCAACTCAAAGGAAGCCGTGTGACTAATAAAAGCTCCTGCTTGTATGGCCCGTCAACCCTCACATCATGGCCTTTGAGCTCTGAACGGGGGAGACATAGCTGTAGGTATGGCCTTCTCAGCACCCGTCTGTCCCGCCTTGAGCCCTTACTGTCTATCAGTGGAACTTGCAAGCTGGTGAGGACTGTCAGACTTTCCCAGGGCATCCAGCTTCCTGCCCCCCCTCGCTGCCCCCCCTCCTGCACCATCTCCCCCCTTTTACTGTATGTTGTGGACCCCGTTGCATTGTGTTTTTGGGGGGGTTTATTGCTTCTGAAATGTAGTTGTGGTTGTCTGTCTCGTATTGGGAAACTCCAAAATCTAAAAAGGACTGCACCAGACATTGGAAAAATAGCCCTTCCTCATGAGGAGATTACAGCTGGAGAAGGGAGAATCCAGGGCAAATTTTGCAAATGGACAAATAAAACCATAGCTATAGTTTTGATTTTGGGTGGTGGTCATCTTCTAACGTCTATTTCCCCAAGTCCACCTTAGTGGTGGATGGAGGGTCTGTGACCCCAGGTGGAAATGTGAGGAGTCACCCCCTTTAAACCTGGAAAACAAACACACGTGAGCACGTGCACGCACACGTTTCTCGTACTCCTGTCATTTATTGCCCTGTGTGGCATCTCCAGAAAGCACTCCTCCGGGAACCAGGCTAGGAAAGCGGTGGAGGGTGGTGGATGGACCCCCATCTGCTCCCTCACAACCACTTTCCTTCGCACCAACGCTAGACTCAGGTCTTAGTTGGAAGGCACAGGACACCTGATCTTCAGGAGGTGAGCCGGTGGTGATCATTATTACATATTACGTTTTCAGTTTACAGAGCACTCCCACAGGCATTACCTCATTGGCCTCGAGATTGGGGCGTTTCAGTAGGGCGGTAAGGTAAGACCTGAGTGGCCAGGGTCATGGGGGTGGGGGTTGGGGCGTGTGACATACAAGGTTTAGGGAGGTAGGGGCCTGGAAAAATAAAGTGGGAGCCAGCGTGGCAAGTGGGCTGGTGCAATGAACACAGCACCACCTTCTCCACAGGCGTACTAGCAGTGAGATTGTTCACGGCCACATTGGACGGTCTTCACTAAGGACGAGGCTGGTGTTGGTTTCTGACTGGGATTGCTAGCTTGGTGAAACCCACTTTCCTTTATTAAAACCCACCAGTCTTCCCGTCCCCCAGCTCTGTAGATTCTTGTCTCCCTGCACTGTGACGCTTAGTTCCTCTGTCAGTTTTGCGTTTCACGCTCACATGTATGTTTTTATCCAAGGTACCTGGAGCAGATGCATTCTCTCTTTCTGTCCAAACAAACAGATGTGTGTGTGACTGTGCTGACTTAACAGTCCCGCTCGCTGTTGCGTTTTGACAGCAGCAAACACAGAACCTGTTGGGTTTTCCGTGCTAAGATTCTGTGTTTGCCTTGACCAACATGTGCCTACGTTTTAGTTTATTTGAAATGATACGTATGTGTTCATTCTTTCCCAACACGTTAACATCTGCCTCCCCCAGGAAAGTACAGAAAGGTGGGCTCTCCTCAAATGTACCATGTTCATTATCAGTTCCGTAATTTTTCCTCTTCTCTATAGGCTGTGGATTTAAAAGCACAAAATTACAAGGAAAACTATGTATTAAAAGAAAATTCAGCCAGACCACAACAAAAATGGCTAAGTCTCTCATTCGGGTGTGAGAGATCGCATACAAAGAGCGTTGCCATTTATCCTGATCCTCAAATTATAAATTTCCATTTATTTGATGAAGCCTCAGATTTAAGAATTTAGTTCGGTTTATTTCACCATCCAGAAGGTAGAAATTGGCCGTTGGAGAAAAAGCATTGGTGAATTTACATGAGAGGAATTCTAGGTTTAGTTTATCTTCTTTTATTGATGGAATTGATATGAGATCGATTTTATTTAAATGATTCTTTTTGTCATCTGGCATTTATTGTCTACTCTTTTTCTGGAAAAAACAGTTTTGTTTGAAAAACAGCTTGAAGCTAAAGGATTCAAAGACTTTGGTGGAGAATATTCTCATTAACACAGAAACTAAACTGCAGAGTGCTGCTATAGAAATAAGTCCTTCTCTAAAGTACTGGATTATTGGTTACTTTTTAAAAAAAATTTGTGTAGTCATGATAGGTATGCAGGCAGGACTTTGACCGAGATGACATAGTAGCATTTTCGTACACATAGGCTACAAAAAGTACATGTGAAGCTTGTGGGGCCTTAGATGCACCATTAGTGCACCAGTCATTTTATCTGGCTAAAACTCAATTGTCTTGTAGCCCTTAAGGCATCAATTTTAGCATTATTGCTCTCAACAACAGTGTATTGAATATTATGTCAGTTAAAGGAGAATAATTATCAAGGCAAGTTAGGGTGGCTGCTAGCCTTACCACATATTGACTTGGTTAACAGTTGGCTATAGATTGTGTTACTGGGCAAATGAAGATGTACGGTAAGTTGAACTGGTCAAGCCAGAATATTAATTTAAACTCTCGTGAACCCAAACCTGCATCCCTTCCATGTATACAGCTATTCCTGCTTTCGGAGACTCTTCACAATGTGGAAGGACCTGTTCTTTTAATTTGGGAGGGGATTAGGGGTGGGAAGCAGCCCATTTACCCTGATCATTTGAGAGGGGGTGTGAAGAAATTATAAAAAGGAAAATGGAGATAATGATCCCAAAGAATCATTTGAAAGTCTGGCCATTGGTCAAGTATCCTGCACTGTTTTTATTGTTTTGCAAAATTTTTTTCACTTAGGTGATTATCTGTGATCCTTAAAGTAGTCAGCAGGGCAGAAAATGCATACCCGCATTTGACATAGTACTTAAGAATCCAAGTGCCGTTTTTTTTTAAAGGTAAAGAATCTGGTATCCCTTTGTGGATTTATTAAAGTGTTTGTTCAAAAGTACAGACAATGTGAGGTATATTGTAAAGTGGTATTTCTTTCCCCAAAGAGGGAATACTGTTAGATGCTATAATCTGAACATAAGAGAGTATATATATTTTATCTGCTTCTGACAAATACTTCTCTGAAGCCTGGTGCCCATATTTGACAGCAAATGATAGCAGCCTCCCAGCCTTGCCCCAATTCCCCTTCCTTTGACCCAGGAAATGAGAATATAGGCGATTATCATTGTTGGACCGAGTCGTGGTAAAAGAATCACTTTTCCATACAGCCGTCCTTTAATTTGTACGTTCAAGTGAGTTGCCTGGACTTGTTCACCAGCCAACCTGTGGAAATCTCCTTTGTTATAGGAGCCCTGCTGGAATTCAGAGAACCTTTTCAGACATCCTGAATAATTAGCTGAGGTGTCAGCAGTGTGGTGAGAGGCACATTTGTCGGCCTCTCTGTCTTGAAACAGAATCACTAGAACAGTCCACGTTGCCCAGAGGAATGTGGGACCCAAGTCTTCATGTGGGAGGGGTAGGGCGGGGGTTTGGAATGAGCTACACACTTGGATCATCCTCGTAAAAGTCCGTGTGGTGCGTCCGCATCATGAAAGCCCGGGGATATTCTGGAGAGAGTGGTCTGTGGGCATAGGGAAGTAGCCTCCACCAGCATCTCCCAGCTCACTGTATCTTCCATTGTGCTCGCCAGCAGTCTTCTGTTCCTGAACACAGCTCAGTCCTTTGCCTCTGAGGTTTTTCCCCTAGCTGGAATGCCCTACGCCTCTTCCTGCAAGGGGAAATTCATGCCTGCCAGGTGTCAGCTAAAATCTGTTTCTCATGGAGAGCCTTCCTGACCTGTGGAACCACACATCTTTTCTGATGTGGGTCTATCTCATGACTTGCATCCTCACAGTTCTTATCACAATTTCAAATCAATCAATCAATCAATCAGTCAACTGCTAAATGTTTTTCCTGGCTTTCCTCACTAAATTAGTGCCACAGAGGCAGGGCCCGCAATAAATACTTGTTAAATGAATGGATAAAGAAACTTGTTTTAACTTGGTATAGCCTGATGGTTCCACCCTGGAACTCAGGGACATTCAACAAACTCCAGTGCCCAAAGCATCCTTCATCTTTCTCCTGGCTCCCTGTAGCAGCAACTGGTTGTTTGGGGCAGTACAAGAGATGGAAGGACTCCCACACTGAAGCTACTAGTGGTCTGCTGAGTAAGTGTTTCGTGGTCTACATGTGGTAAAAAACATCGATATTGAGCAATCACTTGTACTTACAGTGTCCTTTACAGAGCAAGTTCACATATGTTAGTCCTTTCAATCCTCTTACACCACCCTATCATTGCATTATTTTTGCAATAGTTGAGGTGCAAAGAGGTTAAGTTACTTTTCCATGATCACAGGAAATATTGACATGGGGGTCCTCCTTTTATCATTTGTGCTCCACTTCAGCAAGCATGCTGTCCTGTTCCAGGGACTTGCCCTTGTGATAACATGTCCAAGGTACTTAAGGCCGTGTCTCAGCATCTTCGTGTACAAGGAGCCTTCTGCCTGTGTTTCCATAACAGATTTGTTTATTCTAGCTGTTGGTAATTTTTTCTTCACCGCCATAATTCTTC